CACCAACTCTCACTGTTGTGTCACTTCACAAACACAAATTCTTTTCAGAGCAAAACAAAGGCTAACTGAGGTGGAAGGGGAAGTACCACCATATTTCCTTAAACATTGATCAATGTGCAGGTCCTGCCTATATGCCATACAGGCTGCAGAGAATCTATAGTGTGAATTAAGTAACTGATGTAGCTCTGATTGAAGATTTCTCATTTACTTTGCTTTGGTTTTTTTTGTAAGAGATGGGGAAAACTAATCACAATGGCAAACTCAGAAAGCAGAATGGTGTACTTGTTGAAGTAAATAGAGCAAAAAGGTATAAATTTTGTTCACTGTCCAGAAATATATGGAAAGTCTGTAAAAAACAGGAAAAAAAACCCCAACACATATGCTGTTATTTTAACAAGTAAAATATAATAATTCCAGATTTCTATATTTCTGCTTACTCTGTAGAATGATGACTATGTAGTATCAGCTCCATTTCGAATGTAATCAGACTGCAGTTTGATTTTCACAGAATCACAGAATATCCTGAGCTGGAAGTGTCCCACAAGGATCATCAAAGTCCAACTCCAACTCCTGGCCCTTCAGAGCCCCAGGAGTCAGACCATGTGCCTGGGAACATTGTCCAAAAGCTTCCTGAACTCTGTTAGGTTTAGTGCTGTGACTGGCACTTCCCTGGTATGCCAGGGCCCAACCACCCCCTGGCTGAACAACCTTTCACTAATATCCAGCCAAAATGTCCCTCAACATAGCTTCATTATGTTCACTCATATTCTGTCACTGGTCACCACAGAGAAGAGATCAGTACCTGCCCCTCCTCTGCCCTCACAAGGAAACTCTGACTGCTATGAGATATCTACTCAGTCTCTCCTTCTCAGGCTGAACAGAGCAAGCAACCTCAGCTGCAGCTCGCATCACTTCACCTCTAGACGCTTCACCATCTTTGTTGCACTCCCATGGACAGTCTCTAATAACTTAGTATCTATTTTATACGTGGCACCCCAAACCACCCCCATCACTTGAGGTGAGGCTGCCCCAGAGCAGAAGAGATCAGGACAATCCCTTCCCTTGCCCGGCTGGAGATGCTGCCCCTGATGTTCCCCAGGATACACTTGGCCCTCCTGGCCACCAGGACACTGCTTGCTCAGATTCAACTTCCATCAACCCCCACATCACTTTTCACAGAGCTGCTATCCAGCATCTCATTCCCCAGTGTGTCCATATACCCAGGGGTGCCCCATCCCAGGTGCTGAATCTGGCATTTTTCCTAATTAAAATTCATTTGCTTAGTGATTGCCCGTCTCTCTTAATTTGTTGCAGTCTCTCATGTGTTACATTCCCCTGTTAAAGCATCTTGATACTAGGGAAAATTATTTAAAAGGAAATAAAAGTAAATCAGGATAATATTGTCTTTCACCAAAAATATTACACTAGCAGATTCAACAAACCACCACAATTATCAGTTACTTTTTGTCTTGCATTAGCAGACAAAATCCCATAAAAATTCTTCAAATACATCTATAAAGAAGGAACAAAAGAAGCAAAATTTTGATTGTTCACAAGGAATCTCTACATAGTATTTATACTGAAAAACAGAGCTCCCCCAAGAAGTTCTTTATGATTAAGAATAAATTCACAGATTAAATAAGGAGAAGGAAAACAAGAAAAGAGCAAAGCCTTCCACAGGACAAATTGTGATTAGATAACTGAATCTAATAAAATCTGTGGAGTGGATTTACAGAAGAAAATTGGATAACTATTAAGAGACAACACTGGGCAAGAATAATTTATTTATCCTAACGATTTTCAAGCATAAATGGTAACTACAGATTATGTGTGAAAATGCACAGTAACAAATACCTTATATAGTAATGTGCCTTACTGGATCTCCTTAATGATGAGTAATAGCAACAACTCTTTAAGAACACACTCCTACTTCCCATATTCCTCTGTAAAGATATTCAGCACCAATTGTGCGACATTTCTGGAGGTCTTCAATCTTTATACAGACTTTGATATTATTTATTTATGTGGCTTCTCCTGTGATTATAGAAAATCATCACCGTTGTTTAAAAAAGTCTGGATTAGATAGCCTAAGGAATTACTGCTATTAACAGTGGGAAGGAATGTGAGAGTATGTGTCTATGTGGATAGATTACTGGAGGTAAGAAAAACTAAAAAATACAGCACTCTTGGGAATCAGTCTTTGCTTGCAAATCAAAAATCTAAATTAGCAACACAGATTGTCAGGGTTGTTAATTTGTGTTCCTTCTACTGGTCAGTTGAACCTATGACCATAAAAATAATGATACTCTGTACAGAATCTCCAGATTGTCATGTTGCAATCAACAGTCCAAAAATCTGAAACCAAACTTACTATTAAAAAAACCCTTATATACAGCTGATAAATTACACATTAGTTCTCAAATGCCACCTAAACTCCTCAAAATGTCATAATGGAAACAAAGGGATTTTTCAAATCAAAAATATGTTTCCTATTATATCAGTTTGTTTCATGTGTCTAGCCCATCGACATTTCGCTTGCCTCAGATTCTGAGATAAATTAAACATTTGAAAAAATTAATCATTGTAATAAAAACTGTTAATTGGATTTCTAGTTGGAAGCTCCTTTTTTCTCTTTCTCACACAAAACATAAGCAGCAATCAAAGCAGACTAGATCACAGGACAACTTGGGCTGGAAGACCATGTCTGGCAGACCACCTGATCCACCCCCCTGCTCACACTGGGGCTAACACAAGCATAATTCCATGTCTGAGTATAAGCAAACAGCCAATCTGTAACAAAACCCAGTAAAAACAGTTTAACAAAAATCATGAGCTCTAATCATACTCTGCTAGTCACAAGCACTGTATTTCCTGGGAAATGCAAATATCAATAGCAGCTTGAACCACCTGAAAGAACTAAAGAACACCTTACTTTTGCATTATGATGGATTTATTCCTCTAGGACTCTGCATTTCATCTGAAGCTGAAAAAATGTACTCTATAAATATTTATATAGCATATAGCAGATTTCTTTTCATTTTTCAACACACAAGCAACATCCATATAGCCACAGGTTTTATGATTACCTCTCCTGAAGAGATTAATTTAAATACTAATTTTAGAAGCCATCTTGTAAATAAGAACTGTTTAAATGTTCTTTAAGTAGTGTGATTTGTAGTAAACACAAATGCATTAGTATAATTAATTTTAGTTAGCAAAAGTGAAAATAATAGCCCATTTCATTTGCCTTGCTCAGTACAGTTTTTTTATTAATAGGCTTTATTTTTTTCTGTACACAAGACAATCTTCTGTTGTCATATACAGATTAGAAATGTAAACACTTAAACACTTCCCACAATGACTGACTTCAGAATTGATTCTGAGTATTATCTCAAAAAAAAAAGCAAAGAACCAGGGTGACAAAGAGTACTACTGCCCCCTAATGAGCCAGACTATAAAAGTTCCTCTGCATTTTGTGTCTTTCCTGAAAAAAAAATCAAGTCATTATATCCATTAATTATGAAAAAAGTGAGAAAATAATACAATCATTAAGAAAATACATTTTAAATTCATACCATATCTCTGCACAAAAGGCATATACATAATTTCATAGAGGAAATGAAGATGTATCCAGCAGCTATAATTTTCAGATACAATACTTAATGCATCAAGCGATCACAAAGATACAAGATACAGAAGAAGAATTACTCACACTAAGCAAATATAAGTCAATCTTATGTACTAGGATGCAATCCTGTAGTGACCTTCACACCAACCTAGACTGTTAAATTTTCATGTCTGTAGTGTGAGAGCATCAGTTTTCTTGTTGCATTGTTTCATCTAAATGCTCACCACAAGTTTATTCTAGGCTTGTAATTATCTCAAAGTAATTCTGATCTTCGTATCTAAACATACCCACAAAAAGAAGAAAGAGAGGAAACAGTAGGAAAAGTCCACTATCTGAATTCTGTTTGTACAAGAAACAGAACTTTTTGTTTTACATGAAAGTGACATTTTTCTGTCTATATTTTTAATAGTTTTGCCATAGGAACTGAATCTATATTCAATGCTCACCAATGTAGCTTGGGCAAACAATTTTGTCCAGTTCCTGTATCTGCAGCAATGAAATGCTGAAAAAATACAACTGCTGCAAGTCTTAGTGAGAAGCACAAACACAAGCTGTATATTCTCTTTTATTTTATCATAAATCAGAAATTCCACTCACATTAGTAAAATGACTGAATTAAATGCAATGCTAAAGCAGCACTGAATTCTGATTTCTCCCCTCAAACTCCTTATACTGAATTTTTCATAGGTAAACATTCTGACATAGGTAAACATTCTGAGAGACACCACAGAACTAAATTCCAATTCCCATTAGTAATATAAAGTTAAAAGCAAATCATGTGTCTAATTTGAAACATGCTGGCTAACAAAAGACACAGATTTTATGAATAAAAAATTATCTTCTTTAGTAAGTTTGGGTTCTCATATGACACCAAGTCACTAAAATCCTTGAACTTAAGACTCTACCTTAAAACCTCCAAATACTGGGTTTCTGTGGCCTCACATAGTGTCAGCATTCAGTTATATACATCACTAGCAGAAAAAAGTTGCAAGTGATGAGCAATGTCTTACATAACTACACACATGGTAGAAGGCTGCAACCTACTATGTATTAAAAGCATAAGAACTATGATCACATGCTATGTGATAAAAATAAGCTAGCTACAAAAACTTTAGAGACCTAAAATAACCATATTCCCTATTTCTCCTGTTACAGCCTAAAGAGCTGGTAATACAGCTCTCAGTCTGCTGAACATTTATGCTATTATATCAATATTTCACAATTCCAAGCATCTACTGTAACTTATATGAAATATAAAAACAAAAATAATGACAAGAATAACATTAAGAGTTCCAATGAATGCCTTTAACAGAACTTTAACATAAGGCCATCACCACAACTCATTCCAACTCTGCTGACCTATATTTCTTACCTTTGAATCTTCATTGCTCACTCCCAGCTCTAGCACAGCTTGAGGAGACTTCAGCTTTGCTTGCATTGACTCTGCCATTTGAAGATTAAGCTGCCATCCAACTGTCTCAAGCTATAAAACACAAGTTTGAATGACAATCAGATGGTACAGAAGCACTGACATCAACTCTCAGAACTGCCAGTGGTCTGGGTCAGTGAACACAGCGTCACATTCCACAAATGTTAAGTATTTGTATACAATGCAATTCCCTCAAATTATCCTGGACTCCAGGACAGATGTGCTTTTCTCTTGTCAAAATTACCATTCAAACTGCCTACACCCACTCAAATAGAGCAACTTCCCATGTCTCAGATCTGATGGATCCAATCCTTACAACTACAGATCCAGAGTACAGTAGCTGCTTCTTCTTCTTGTGGAAGTTTATCAGCAAAGTTGCAGACTCAATTTCATTTCATATTTATTTTACTTTCAGGAAAAAGAAAAAAAACCAATAAATAGTAAACCACCCAAAACCAGTGATTTCTTAATCCACAGATCTACTTATGTGTGTTGTACCATATGCAGATCTTAATGACAAAAATAATTTTGGTTTTCGAATCATTAATGCTGAAAGGACAAAATCCAGGTAAGCATGTGAGCAATTGAATTTTTAATACTTTTTTTTATTTTTTAATCCAGTTCAAATTCTTTTTTCATCATTAATCTGAAGTTATATTCAAGCATTATTAAGGTACAGCTCATGCACAAATAAAGTACACAAGAACAGAACCACAAAGCTTCCACAAAATTATCTTCCTAGCCTTAGTGAATAAAAAGAAGTGGAAAAACAAAGTCTTAGCATCTGCCAAGATAATTTACACACAAATTCTTTTTCATCTAGGGTTTTCTCTCTTCTAGTAAATATTGTACCTGTCTTAGAAAAGTGAAAGATTGCCACATCTTCGATAATCTCTCAGCAATGTAATAGCTAAATTCAGCTAAAATCATTAAAAGAATAAAGCCATGCCAAATGCCTTGTACTATGAACAGCAATACATGCCCTGCATCCTACAGTGACAGTAATCCTAGATGAAAGATAGAAAACGGTGGCAAAAGCTTCTCCCATGGACACAGCTCAAAGACATAACTTCCAAAATTTCTTGCAGCTATATGATTTACACTTCCAAACTAACGTATGTTAAACTGCATTTATCTGTACACAGGATGAATAGCAGAACTACGTAACAACCACTGACTACCACGTAACTAAACATACCAGAAGGAAAACTATGTATCTTAACCAGAAGGAAAACAATATATCTTAACCACCAAGGCCAGTTAAAGATTGTTAAGGAGTTTAGCCAAGGGCACAGTTAAGGGAAAGACACCATCTCAGACTGACTTTGTGCGCAGTTATAGGAACAAGACAGCAAGAAGAACTTCAGCAAGTCAGCCTGCAGTCTGTCAGCTGCTCTGCGATCAATGCACCTTTCAAACTTCAATTTGTCATAAAAATAAGGAAGTTTACATTTAATAAAATCCATGAAAGCATGCAGACCACACAAAGGGACCCAGTGAAGATGTTCCAAGTCGGGTCCACCTCAGTTTGAGCACAGTTTTAATGACAGTAGGCCCACAGCTTAGGAATTAGAAGATGCTTTACAGAAAAGTTACGTGACATATAAAAGGAGATGAATTTTTAATCATAACTCTGTTCTGATTTTCTCTAACATGATTACATCTTGGTTAGTGAAAATAATAGTGCATAGCCCATCCCACCCAAAAGCACAAAACAATCTGGAGTGGGTTCTGTGGACATGCTCAAGTCAATCACACCAATGGACAACTGCTAAGTCCCTGTGCTAGCCCCTATTTTCCAGGAAATTATACCAGAATGATACAACTAGAAAACATTTTTCTCTCCACAAACTTCAATGGAATTAAGAAACTAACTCTGACTCTTTCAGGAGCATAAAGATAAAACATTAAAAATAAAAAAACCAAACTAAATAACTTTTGGCTTTTTATCAAGGAAAAAAAGGTATCATTCAGGAAAGAAAATTGATAATTGTCAACAGAAAAGGATTCAGATCCTAAGCTATGGGTTACAGGGGTGGAAGGAAGCCAAAGCAGGCAACTGGTAACAGTACTACCTACTGACAGAACATTCTAACCACTAAGGACAAAAACAGAGACATCAAGCTCTGGAATGTGACAGCTCCTCATACTACAGTCACTACGGTTCAAGCTCTCTGCTCCTCAAGTTAGAAAGGACTTTCTATCACCTACTTAAACAGTTTATTACTGTAGTACAGAAACCAAGCCTTAGACAGGATAGCAGCTTACCCAGGATCATAAGATAATGCCACTAGAGACAAAAACCATATACAAAGAAGCCTGACTTTTAAGACTTCTGAAGCTATTAAATACCATGTACTCTGTGTAGACTGAAGACAAAACAACCAAAAATAAAAATGCAAGTTTGTGTTGTCTATTTCACTTCTAATACACATGTAACCCAGAATACTGTAGAGAGCTCAGAACAAATACAATACAGCACACTGGTCTGAGTTCATAGCTGAGGAGCAGCTTTATCTCTTGTTTTATAATGCTTTACCTTAAAAATTACTTTGTTTTCCTGTGCAATTCATGTCTGTTTTCTGTTTTAAACATAATTGTATGAGAATAAGTTTTAATTAATAAACAGCATGCTGCCTAAGGCATCAAAATGGTCCATTTTCCTGAAAGAAAAATGCAACATGTATCTGGCAATGGTTGTGTTTGTTTACTTAGAAGATATTCAACATCCTGCAATGTTAATTAACCTTTTAATAGTAGTGACAAATTTCGGCATGGCATTTGTGTCAAGGCAAAGTATTTGCTAGCCACAAGGTGGTACATATTTAGGGCAATTTATTTTCAAATTTGAAAAGACTATAAAATTATTTTTACTTCTTGTATAAAACTTGTTACAGAAAAAAGAATGCTAAACGAACGGCACCAGAATCTGTGATATACTAACTTCAAAGCACTTCCTGGGGCAGAGGAGAAGTATTTCTCCATGCCTAGCATGAAAACACAGACATGTTTTTAATTAGTGTAGACCTTTAGCAGCTTCTCACAATTTCTTATCAGCAGGTTAGAAATATGCAAGCTACCTTGTCACTGCAACACTAAACGCAATTGAAAATGTACTATTTATTGCTGTAAATTCTCACTGATCTCTCTGGCACTTATTTAACTTCAAGTTTATGCTTAGGAAAAAAAAAAAAAACACAACAAAAAGTAAACAGGTGCAAGCTGGAAACAAAAGAAAGGGAAATAAACATAGGTACTAAACAAAACCAATACTAAGAACATATGAAAATGCTTCAGATCTGTTTTATGAACCCTCTGTCAAATAAACCCGGGCAATAAAGATATGAGGAAGCTTTCAATAACCCCTGTAAATCTTCAGTTGTTCTGTCCATTTTGTTTCATTCAGGCTTCTGAAGAGATTACATGGCACTTGGGACTCACAGACATGGAAGAACTTATGCACCTCCCCCTTCCAGAACTCACTCTGTACTGGCTGTAGAAGAGGTGAGATGTCATTGCATGCTGAACTAGCTCTGTACTCCCTCACCCACAGTGCTTCTCAGTGGCCACAGCCATCCCAGGGCAGATCCACACTAGAAAGCAGCTAGTTCCCCAACTAGGGTCAGAAGATCTGACCCTTCAACTGAAGATGAGCAGCACCTTTATAGGTACATAAAAACATCACCTGGTCTGTCCATGATGGCCACAGTAATTGTCTTCCAGTAAAAAAATAACTGGATTATCCAGCAGACATGCTAAATAGTAGAGTGTAGCATTTTACACAGTAAGACAAGACCATCACCAATCTAACATAACTATGGTAAAACATTTGTGTGAAAGTCACTCACTTGAAAAAGCTCAGTGCATTAAATGTCAAGGCAGCCTTTACAGCTGATATAAACCTCAAGCACAATCTCCAGCTAAATTAAGGTTCACACAGTCAAAAATAACACCCACAGAATCCACCATTTCTCTTACAGTCCACTCTGTTTTGACATACCCTACTATCTCTTCCCAGCATATCTTCACCACAGTTCCTTACTTCCACTTTTTGTTGCCCATAAACATAATTACAAATTAAACCTGAGAAGAAATTCATGTAGTCTGTCAAATAGGACAAGTTTCTATAGTAGTTGTCAAAAAATACTTCTCTCAACTACACTACACATTTATTTTACACTCTTCAATGAGAAATCAAATAAATATTCCTTAGCAAAGAAATTCAGACTAATCATCTCAACTATACAAGAACCAGGCTGCCAAACTCAAAATGAAGGACTACAACCTTGAGATGGAAAGCAGAACAAATGTTAATAACAGGCATCTTGCAGGGCTCCAACCTGAAACAGCAAGAACAGAGCCCAATTGAGCAAGAAACTGACACTAAAAAATGGCTGGCAAGGACCTAATTTGAAGAAACAAAATAAGTAGAAGTATAGTGAAACAGGGACAATTAGAATGGAATTTCAGAAAATATGTATCCATCTAAAATTTCTTACCTAATGCCTCCAACTTCAGCCAAACCTCTGGAGCAGAGTTCAGTATTTTTAAAGGACAAGAGAAAAAAGGGGCTTAAATACTCAGTCAGTACCAGAGGAGGAAAAGAGGATAGTTTTCAGTTGGTCTTGGCTTATAAACTGACATCACATCTCCTGTTTGTCTCTACACTCAAAAAAACTGGAGGTTTGCTTTCATTTTAAAGCAGAAAACTGCATTTTTCATGTAAACTACCTGATTCTAAAAGGATTGTGTAACAAATCATTACAGAAACTACAGAAAACCAGTATTATATGGCTCTCAGAACTCACTGATGTGGCAGCTGACTTCTTACCACAGTGCTAGCAGGATGCCATATGTTTTAGTTTAGGGTAAATTTGGGAGAAAAACTTTTGGAAGGAGCTCTCAGAAAACAAACTTCCATGGCCCCTCCCCACCCACTTGGTTTGGGAAGAATTTTCTCAGATAGAAGTGGAAAAGAACCTGTTTATCTAACAAACATAACACCCTCCAGTACGAAAAAAAAAAAAAAAATATTAACAACACCAGATGACAAC